ACTCACACACTCACACACTCACACACTCACACACACACACTCACACACTCACACACTCACACACTCACACACTCACACACTCACACACTCACACACTCACACACACACACACAGCCGCGCGCGCGCGCATTTTCTGACCTTGCAGCCGAGATATTCTCGGATTTTACTTTTGCAGAAGTGGCAACAACTACTTGGAAAGACTAGCTTTGACGACCTAATCGTTGCTCGTCATGAGTTGCCGGTCGCATCCTTGTTGGCTCATGCATTTCGCTGATGCCTGCCTTGGTGCACTTGCTGATCCTCAGCATATAAGTGAACTCGAGTGAACTGCAAGCTCATTGGTCGACCTGGCACCAATGGTTCTGTGATGAAGTCACCCGTGCGTTTGCGGGTTCGGGCCATTCGGGTCCCGCCCTGCTACCAAGCTTTGCTTGCGCTTCCGCCAGCCTCGCTGCAGCACACGGGAGTAGATGAAGCTGCATGCTGGGCAGTGGGTGGGCGGGAATTCTCAGTTGGGGTGGTATCAAACAAAGAAGCTTCTTGCTGGCATGTGAAAATGACACCAGACATTGGAGGGGTCTAGTTGATGAAAGCAAAGGTATGCGCTGGGGTAATTAGATGTCGTTTCTTTTTCGGAGAGGCCAACAAGAAGCCCACCACGAAGGTGGTGGAGCTGCTGCAAGGGATGCAGGAGATCCGAGACATCCATTGGACCCATGAACTTGGTGGTGCCAGGGCCATTTTCCTCGGGCCTAGAAGACTTCTACTTCCAAGAGTCAGGATCCCTTCATGGGTCAAGGGATTTCCCAGACCTGGTTCGTGTGTTTTTGCCAGCTCCACGGATTGGATCCTACAGATTATGGGACCGGTTCGGGATTGCTGAGGTGACGATGTCAATCCGTCCTCAATTGGTGGTTTTTTGTCGAGCAAATATGGGAGGTCTCCATCTGAAGCATGCCCACATGCAAAATCGAGGCTGGGGCACTAGAAACAAGCATTGCCGGCACGCAACTGCCTTTGTCCCAAGCAACCCACTTGGCACGCATCGCTAGTGAATGCATACAAGCACCAATGAACACTGCTTGTCCATGCCAAAGTGAGAGCCAAGGAGTTTCAGTTTTGGTTGTCCTCTGTAACTGTCACCGCATGTCGCTGAGTCACGGCCTTGCCTTGCGTTGCTGCCCATGAAGCCGTGTGGATGGCGTTCATGCTGGCGCGTCACTAGGAAGGCCCAGGGAGGCAACGCTGTAGGAGCAGCTGGAGAGCGATGCGAAGACCGACGAGGAGACTTATGACAAGTTCAAGTGCTGGTGCACCTTGGCAGAAAGGACAACCTGCGTGGATGCACCAGCGCGCTGCACTCTGGTGACATCCTGGGTTCTTTTGCTTGCCAATCCCAGTGTTCTGGCCCTGCCCATCTACCGCCTCAGGCTTGTTTGTATGTTGCACGGCCTGTGCTTTTGAGCTGTTTTCTCACGAACGACTGGATGGAGAGCCAAGTTTGGGGCACGTCCTGCCTCCTTTGGCTGCTTGAATTCGGGTCCCCGATCGTGATGGGATGATTGCAAGTCATGGAAAGCACGGGGCTGTCCCAAATCAATATGTCCGGAGTTTGCAAATTGGCTGGCATGGTGAGAGTTACAAAGCTGACCTTCTTAGCTTCACCCAGCTTATTGTGAAGTACTCATTAGGAATGTCTTTGAAAAGACCTCCGCAGCCCCCTTACCTTTCACGTACTGGAACTGATTGCTCTTTTGCGTGCCTTTGCAACATTTGTGGTTTCCTAGATTTTGTCAGGCCAGAGCAATCAACTTGCTGGAGTGCACCCCACATGTCCATCTCTTTGCTTTGTGACGGCCGGGATGTTGCAACAGCGCTTGTTTTCGCTGTGAACAATTCCACATTTGCTTTCTAGTGTCCTTCTGGCTCAGCCCCAGGCGATGAGAACACCAAGAGCAAAGCTCTCTCGGTGAAGGAGGCAGAGGAGCAGAGCAAACAGCTCAAGGCTCGGGCACACGGGGCGCCTCTACGAAATCGTGCGAATTGATTGGGAAATCAGGAATTGACCTGAGACCACTGGATTGATTCGGCCTCCTTTTTGCAAAGACCCGGAAGCTTACTTGTATTGCAATTAAGGTCACAGCATTGTGTTCCTACAAGCCAACATCATCAAGCCACAGAGGGGCACATGCGATCGTCAAAGCGAGGTTGACCTGGCACGGGCAAAAAATGTGGTACTGCATTAAGTCAGCGCAAGGTCTAGTTGAACTTTGGGCCGGAGCTCCGCGCAGACTTTTGGTCAGGAGCGCGTGGAGTTTTTGCAAGCCAAGTCCTTGCGCCTCAAGGGGGAGATCGAGGGGGCCGAGGCAAGCTGACGGGAACGGGTTGCTGGCAAAATGACGGAGCCCTTTTGGCTTTGAAAGGAAAGAGACTGAAAAGGTTCAGCAGATTTGAGATGCACCTTTGAGTTGTATTTGTGGGCAGGAGCATGTGGGAGTAAGAGGATGCTCATCCAGTGATTTCCTGTCAGTTGTTGATCCGCATTTGTCACCTGGCAAGAGACCATCGGGATAATCCTTGATGGAGCTTCCTTGACAACTTTAAGCCTTGCAAGTAGCCGCACTGAAGCCAAGAGCGGTAGCTCCCTTGAACCCTCACCCCGAGGCCTCAGTCCAGGAAGTTTGGGATCTGCCATCGCAGCGTGGGGATGTCTTTTGGTCGACCCGTGAGGGCTAGTGATATGGGCTGAGAAAGACTGCAGTTCTGGGGGCCCAAGGTCAACACCAGCAGACCCTTAGCAGCAAACTGACAGCAGAGAACCTTGGGCGGAGTCTCAGCTCTTGGCTTAGTGCTTTCGGTTCGAAAGGGGTAGGAGAGAAGCTGAGCCCGTTCCTGCTTAAATGCATGCTGACTCCTCGCCGATTGGGGCGGTCCCGCCATCGAGCCTCGACAGATAAACAGAAGGTCAAGCTCTGGGCTGGTATCCATTGATTTGAAGGACCAGGCAGGCGTCGCCCTGTACCTCGTGAGGGAAGACGTGACTTGCCCATGCAGCGTGTGTGCGCGTACTTCTCGGACAAGGGTCGCCTAGGCCTGCGCTTGCGTAGACTTTGGGCTTGCCTTGGGTCAGTCATCGTCAGTCATGCTCTTGCAGGAGTGCATTTGTGCAGTTTGTGAAGATGGCGAAGCGGACAGTTTCCATTGAGTGGACAGCAATGATCTCGCCAAGGCGCTTGCAAACGCGTTGGAGAAGAACTCAGTTTTCCAGCGCCGTTGCGAGTGCTTGGATCCCATCGTCACCGATGCCCTTGGGTCTTGTGATGGTGCTTTTTGTCAGTGCACGGGCCGGGCCTGCGATGTGTTTGCGAAGATCCGGCTGAATCTAAGATCGACCTTGTGAACGCGGAGAATTCAGGATGGTGGTCGAGAAAAGAAAGAGCAGCTGCAGGGCGTTTGTGGCATTTGAAGAAGCAGACAGGAGGCCCAAGAGATGTTCTTGCCAAACGGGGTCACCAGGCCTCCGCTCGCGTCACATGAGGTAAAGCGGGAGCCATCCCACCTCGGGCTCACTACTACGCTTTGTGTCGCATAGCTGTGGTCGTGCACTCTCTCGCCTTCCAGCAATGCGAGACAAAGAGCGGCAGTGCGGAGAACGCAGCTCATTCCTTTGCTCGAGCCGCTAACCCATATCTTGACAGAGGATGCTCCGTGTGGACCCCATGGCATATCCTGTGCAGGTATAGATAGCGGCGAAGGTGAAGTCTTGGCCTTTTGCAATGAGTCGATGAGTACAGTGGTGGTGACAAGCAAGGCAAGATACGCTGCAATGGGATGGTTGAGGTCAAGCCCACCAGGAGCTTTTCATGTTTGGGACCAGACCGGGGTTCTGGCGCTGCTGGGATTCTGGCGTTGCGCCGGGTGTTGCAAGCAAACATTGCTAGAGGCCCACCATTGACACTGTTTTTAGTGCATGACTGTCCATGCGCCAATTTCAGCCCGAGCTGGCTAAGCAGGAGCGCAGCTTCTAGGAAACTCCGCTCCTGATCAGCCAGCTCGGGTTCATGTGGCCCTGGCGAACGTGGAAACCCAGCCCCTCACATCCTTCGCATTGAGGGAGAGCGTCACTTTGTCTTAGGCCTAGACCGAAATGCAGGACGAGCGGGGCATCATCAAAGTGAGACTCTGGATGCGGAGGTCATGCGCCGGGCGAGCCAGAAGGTAATGTTTGCCCCACCGCAATCGGAAGGAGCCCGAAAACCACCAATGTGGTGAAGATTGCCCTTTCTCCACTAAGACGCAAACACATGTTTGCCCACGTGCTCCTATTGTTTCAATACTGTTACTCGTACTCAAAGGTCATGCTAGGCTCAGAACAATGTTTTTCGCACAATGTGTTCGTGGACTCTGAACAATGATTTCCCCAAAAAAGCAGTTGTTGTTGACACGGGAGATTCTGCCTTGTTTGTATTTGAATGGAGATTGTTTCGCACGTGGTTGTTGAACAACACCATGTTTTGCCCATGGTGTTTACACGTGGCAGTGGAGATTGCGTTCATCGTGTTGGCAATTAGTTGCAACTTTTGCTTCTTTAGGGCAATCATTACCATTTGCACGACATGGCGTTTGCTGGTGACAGAGGCTTCATGCTTGGCTTGGTGACCGTTCCATATTCAGGGTTGGTCCCTCGGGTTGGTTCTCGCTTTGTTTGAGATTTTCAGGATCGATGGGTAATTAGACGGGAATGAGATTCGGATTTATTCGAGGCTGGTTCAGGCTTGTTTGGACGAAGCGAATAGCTATGTGGATGCAAGCATGTTTGTTGACAAGGCCGTCATTTGCAGAGAATTTCCCTTTCACACAGCAAAAACAACATGTATAACACATGTTTGTGTTGACCAAGGGCTTTGCAATGGAGCATGAAGAGTTTGGTTTGTTGGGGGCCCCCAACTCACGAACTTGCAGGAGTGCATGCGGGAAGTTTGTGAAGATGGCGAAGGACAATGTCCATTGAGCGGACGGTGGTGATCTCGCCAAGGCGCTTGCAAACGTGCTGGGAACAGCCTCAGTTCTTCTCCAGTCCGCTTGCGAGTGCTTGGACCGCATCGTGACCGATGCCGCTGAGTCTTGTGATGGTGCTTTGCGTCAGCACACGGGCCTGCGCCATGTTTGCCATGATCTGAGCGAACCTCAGACCTTTGCAAATATTGATGACCGAGCCTCGATCTGGAGCTTCCCGAAGCCCGTACCGAGGGACAGGCGTGGCCGAAGGCGCTGGCGAAGCCTTGGACAAGATCCCCTCAACTGAGATGGATGTGAGCCACAGGCGTCTGGAGACGCTGGCGGAAGCTTTTTGCAAGAGCTCCATGGTGAATCTGGTGAGTTTGCCCTGAACTGGAATGAACTCGACAGTGTGACAGACCTGGTCGAACGCCCACAAAATTGACAAACCCAACTGTGGCCTGCCTTCACAGGAGTCTGAAACCGGCGTGATAATTTCAAGCACTGATGCTGCGAGGAAAATGTGTGTTTTGCCATCCAGCCAACCTTGGGACAGCGTGTCTTGCTTTCTGGAAATCGAGAGAAGTTCTGGTCATCATCTTTCCGGGTTGTGTGTGTGTGTGTGTGCGCGTGTTGACACTGTGCATGGATTCAACATGATTTCGCAGTGATTGCTTCAACTACAGTGCTTGCAACAGGGTCTTAGACCGGGAAGCACACAGGGAAAGGTGCAAGTTGCTGGGGCTACAGGACGAGGTTGCCAAGAACAAAGCTGCTCTCGACACTGCCACAGCCCTGCGTGCGCAGCAAGCCAAGGCGCGTAGGGCAGGATAGGCCCATTTGAGAGACGTCAGACAAGCTAGCACTGAAGCTAGACTGACATTGATAGAAGCTAGTTCGTGAGGTCTTCTAGGCAACTGCTTTGACTGTGACAACTGCATCCCTAAGACTTTGCCACGCATGGCCGAAATGGAAGAAACCAGCCGTCAGTTTCTTTTGAAGGGTCGCAATACATGATGCACTGTTTGTGCAAAGGAGAGGACGCGAGGCGAGGTTTGAGTTGTCAGTCAGTTGTTTGCTTTGATGGGTCGCACTAGCCCCCCCAGCTATTCATTAGTGTTTGCGGACACTTCGGTTTCTTGCCATTGAGTCATTGAGGGGCTGTTTAAAACTTTGTAAAAGCGCTTTGGAGCCACGCGTGTCTCCCGCTCTTTTTCTTCTTTTTCCCGCAGGAGTTTGCGGATGACAAGCAGAGTCTTACTGGAAACATCCAGGCAGTGGGCAATGCCCTGACCACCATGAAGGGCATCTCGGCATTCTGGGAACAGAGTCGGCAGGCTGACACTCCCCACCCTCAAGCTGACAGCTTTGCTTCGTTCCCTTGGAGTTTTGCCTCGGGCTGGGCAGCTCTTGCTAAACTAAGTCGTAAAGGGGCCCATGTGAACGCTGAGATAGGATTTTGGTCTGTGCAACACTGACAGCCGCACTTGACCCTTGTTTGGCGTTGCTTGATAGCCTCACAATGACAACGATATTGGCTCTTCAAGTAAAAGGGGCCCGCTTCAAGATGGAGTCCTTTCTTTGGTTGTGCCCCTAACCCAGAATAGCGATCCCTGTTTTGACAGGATGTTGGTTATAGCTGGAAACAATTAGCGTGATTTCGTTTGGCTGGTTGGCCACGGCGACATGTCTTGGGTAGGCCTCAAAGTACCGGGCGCAGTGCTCAGTGCGTTAGTTATTAATAACGCGTTGCACGTCGGAGAATGAGTCGCTCGGCGACCGCGAGTCTGTCACGCCATGGCGTTGAGTCTTTCGCCTAGGCGCCAGCAGCTTCCTACAGGTGCCGGTGGTGCAAGCTGTGACCCCGGCAGCTCGACAGAGGTTGGCCGGTTGAGCTCGTCAGTTAGCAAGAGCGGGGCCAGGAGCAGAAAGAAAAGCAACTGGGCAGAGGTCAACGATCAACGCTACATGCCCCTACAGTGGCTTAGGTTAGTTTGTGTTTTGACACCACTATGAGAACTGGTGCAGCCACCCAGATTCAGCTTTTAGAGTTGATACTGATTTGTGCAGGTCATGAATCCGCTCCACTGCCAGTTCGTACATATTGCATCGCTGCTTCATTACAGTTCCATGATAGTCCGAGTGTCTCCCATATTTGCATGATGCGATTGTCTTTTGAGTGCATTGTCATTCCATTCCACTTCTATGGAGGGGAATGGTGGCTATTATCACGTAAACCATTCTTTAGTCCTGGTTTCATGAACCACTCCGTGGTGGCTCCCGCATCTTTCTATATTATTGCAACGTTGATCTGTTGATTTTGCGTTGCTAAGCCCGCATGGACTTCATGCCACATGTTGACATGCACAGCTCCTTGGCCCAATGCGCTGAGGTGCTCCAGCAGCTTGTCACCAAGAATTTCGACAAGATGAGCGCCGCAGACCGCAGCACCATCCAGGCAGCCAGGGGACGCTTGCAATATTTTTTTAGGAAAGAAGACCTTCGTTCCTTGGCGTTTCCTTTGACTTTGGACGTTGGCTGCTGTTGGTTGTTCCTGTTGACTGGATTGGTTGGTTGTGGGTTGGTGTATTTATTATGGTTGTTTTTTGTGATGACGATCTTATATAGATGACGATGAGGACTGATACTCTGAGTCATCATAATCGTTGTCATCGTCACTGCCATCGTCGTCCTCGTTCCAATTTCTGGCTGCCTGATACAGGCAAGCCCGTGCCAATGTCAATGTCACCGCTACTCGTAGAGGATACACTGAACATTTGTGCCCAATCAGAGTTGGATTGCTTTCCAACTAGAGTTAGCTAGCTATGTACAGTTAGCTCAGTTGGGCAATTAGCTAGCTAGCAAGTCAATTTATCCAGCCTACAGAGTGAGCTAGCTTGTTTTAGAGTAAGCTAGCGAGCCTGTTATAGATAACCAGCTGGTTAGATGCTTCGCTAGCTCTTTAGCCAGCTAGGCAGAGGGTTGCGCGAGCAAAGGGAAGAACACAAACGAACGCGAGTTTTTGAGGGTCAATCCTGATGGGAATGATGGTGACGATGATGATGTAACCACGCCCAGGTTTTAGGGAAATTGGAATAAACCTCCAACCCAGAGTTAGCAAAGTGTTATGTGCTGGTCATTTGAACATGTGTTTGTGTTTTTTGTGTTCGCGGCTTTGCCGCTTTTCGTGGCTTTTGCAGCTTTTCAATGGAAGTTTCGGCTTAGGTCGCTCTCCGTGCTGCTTGAGCAAGTACATGCAAGACTGAGCATTTGTGCGGTTTGGTTCAGGCCTTCCTTCAGCAGAGGGGAGATGGCGATGCTGTTCTGGGCGTGCTTGACGCTCTCAACGACGACTTCGGCGCTATGGCTCGCACTGGGACACCAAGCATGGCCACGGACACCCACAGCCACCCACAGCCACCCACCCACACACACACGCACACATTCAGGCAATCTGCACACTCCAACCTGAAAGACTATACGTCTCACGAAAGAAGCAAACATATGGAAGTGATGTTGGTGACCAGGTGTTGCGGCATCCCCCAAGTGCCGAGCACATGCTTGCTGGGAGCAGAGCCTCCGAAAGGATTTGCGAGATATGTTGCACGGCAGACGTTCATTGACCTGGCCTCGGACTCTTGAAAGCTGCCAAGGGTGATGTGATGACTTGTAGTTTGGCCTACACATGTGTGTCGATACCCACCCGAGAAGGAGTACCCCTTTGCGGCTTGTGCAGAAAGAACACCAGATGACGCCTTTTTGAACATAAAGCCTACCTAGGGGGCATGTGTAACGATAACATACGACATACGGTGCTTTGTCCAAATCGTTTTGTCTTCCACTGTATACCATTACTTTCATCAACTGCAAAACCAGCGAGAGTAGGGGTGTGTGGTGTGCCATACACAATCAGTGGCTTACCCCTTGCTGCGAAACAACGGACAAAATGCGTTTGGACCATGTATAGCATGGAGCAGGCCAGCTAAACGGGCTGGACACAGATTTTCTTTCAGGCGCAGAGCTGAAGACCTTGGCCTCAGATGAGGACACTCACAAGAAGCAGTACGAGGAAGCCGGTTCGGAATTTGGGAGCAAAGGAAATGAGTGAAATGACCATTAAGGGAACCAGAGAACCGAATCGCACTTGCAGTGAGCGGGGGGGAGAAGGGGAGGGGGTTGGGTGGGGGCAGTATCCCCCACATGGCACAGCCAGCTCTTTAGCTCCTTGCAGCATCGTAGACCAGGGCGCTCGATCACACACTTGCAGTTGCTGGTTTGCAAGATTCTAGCTCAGAGTGAGCCGTGCTCCATTGTTTGGGCAAAGGCAGTTATGCATGCGTGCATGGCACGCACGCGCACAAATTCACGCACGCAGACACAAAAACACAGCACACACAGACACACAGACACAGACACACAGACACACAGACACACAGACACACAGACACACAGACACACAGACACACAGACACACAGACACACAGACACACAGACACACAGACACACAGACACACAGACACACAGACACACAGACACACAGACACACAGACACACAGACACACAGACACACAGACACACAGACAGACACCCATACACACCAACACACACACACACATACACACACCTCAACACACACACACACACTCACACAAATGCGTGAGTGAGATTGCAGACCTCAAGGAGTTGTTGGATCACGATGTCTATTTTGGGTAGCCCTTTCTTCTTCTGTGTCTTCCTTTGATTCTGGCTGACTTATGATTGAGTCTCAACTTTGTTGGCTGCTGGTCGTGGGTTGGTGGGTTATTCTGGTCGCTGTTTGTGATTGTTTGCAATGACGATCTCATATTAGATGACGATGAGGACGAGGATGACGATGGCGATTAAGCAGCGAGGAATTGAAAAGCTGGCGATGACTGTGACAATGATTATGATGATTCAGAGTATCAGTATATATAGCCGGCAACGTCGGGGGGAAGTTTCAGATCGAAGGCTGCTACCGCAACTTGAGCCCGTGTCAGGGGAGACCGGTGAACCAGGTTTCCTGCTTTAGGCAAGCCCGTGCCAATGTCAAAGTCACAACTACTTGTAGAGGATAGGCATGGACATCGGGTCCCCAGAACCGCAGATTCCGTTTCTTTCTTAGTGTCGGACCGCATCGTGGCATGCTGGCATGAGCTGTGAATGCAGACATTTGGTAAAACCTTGAATGAATACGGCGGATGCTTGCGGCTAGCCTTTGACCATGCTGCGTTTCAGTATCACGTACATTGCAACTTGAGTGGAAGGAGTTGGCCGCGGCAAAGCAGGAGGAGATTGTCGCCGCTTGTGCATATTTAATTCAACCCAAATGAGGCAAGGTAAATGCACAGAGGGGTGGGGGGGGGGCAGGGTGGTTCTGGCGGTCTGTGTTGTGCGTGATTGGGTGTGTGAGACATATGGTTCGATTATAAGTGTCTCTCGCAGCGGCTTTTTCCTCGTGCTCTTTGAGGTGCAGCATGCACTTGCGTGAGACATGTCAAGCAAGGCTGGCGAGAAGCAGGTCGAAAGCAAGAAAGAGGAGAAAGCTGCATCGGAGGAGGAGCGTGCTCACAAAAAGCAGGAGGTCAAGGACAGCGCATGCATGTTCAGGGTGGGCTCAGGCGAAAGAAGCATCACCAGAATTACAATAGCGCCAAAACAGTTTGGAAGGCGTTCTTTTGCGAGCCCATCACTTCTCGTCTGGCGGGGTCCAGCGTTGAAGCAGCAAGCTCAGCAACTTCTCGGACAGTGTTGGAGTTGGTTGGGTTGAGTTGGGTTGGGTTGGGTTGGGTTAGGTTGGGGTGGGGTGGGGTGGGGCGGGGTGGCGCTCGGGTTAGGTTTCCGGGTGTTGGCCGAGCATTGGCCCTGCGTCAAGGACCAATCAGCTGAGAATAGATCACGTTGGTCGCCCCAAGGTTTTTTGGCCAGTGCTCAAAGCAAGCAAGAAGGCAAATCAGCCGCCTCGTCAGTGGTCTTATATTTGCTGATCCCAGGCAGCAGTCGCCTATCCAACCTTCAAGGCACAAGGGTGCCCTTGCCATTTTTTAGCAAGTTGATCACTGCTCGGGCAGTTAGCGAGCCAGCCGCTGCAATCAGTTGCACCAGGACCTGATGGCCGCCAGCGGGCAGGATTTGGAGTTTGCCGAGGAGGCCTGCTGTATCTTTTTCCTTCCCTCATATTGTTGTCACAGCTGAGGGGTGCTCGGACATTACATCACACTACAATGTCGTTGGGCTGTCTAGTCCCTGCAGGTGTGCATGATTTGCTGCTTGACATTCCTTTTGCCAAGATGCGCGACATTGTTTGCCTATGTTTGCTCATAATTATTAACCATGCTTTGTCTCCGCTGGGCTACGGCAAGCTGCCAGGAAGCTCTCACTCAAATGTTTGGCAGATTTAGCGCGGGCTACACGTAGGCATCTCTGTTCCTAGGCTTGACGTCCCATGTTGACCAGAGGCCCATCAGTCGTTTTCCCATCAGCTTCTCTTGTCTTACTCGTCCTATCGTGTCCGCCATCGAGGCAAAGGCGTTTCCGGCTATTCGTCCTGTATCCAATTGGTGAAGCCAGTGGACTTTGGTTGGTTTCTGCGCCAGCTCCTCTTTAAGCTCAATCACAGTCGAGCTTTTTGGAGTGTCTTGGGAACCTTGTTGTCTCGTCGACCTGGTCTCGCAGAGGCGGTTTTGTGGTCTGGAGCAAGTTTCGCATAGGCTTGGTGGAGGCTAAAGAAATGGTGAGGTTTTATATCACCCCCTCCCCCCAAAGAAAACAGCCCAAGACAAATGCGTTGAGACACTGGCCCGCCTTCACTGCGCACAGGCTGATTGATTTTGGTGTTGCATTGCCCGCCGGACAGACCTTTTGGTGTTGCCATACCGTGAAGACGCACTTGAGGCATGCTTGGCTTTCGCCTCCTCTGCCGTGCCAGATTCAGCGGTAGGATGATGTACGACTGCCTCAGAGTCTCCATAATCAATATTTTACGCAGTTACAGCGAGCTGCGCACGGCATTCGACTCGGTTGGTCCTGAACTGTGCTCAATCGTTGGGGACAGTCACTGGGAAACAGGTGCAATCAAAGGGTGGGTGATTCGTGCTCTCATGATTGTTTTTGGATACCCTTTCTGTACATAAAGTCATTTGACGGTCACGGAGTATTGTGCTTGTTCAGACACAAATCGACAGGATGCCAATGCCTCACGCAAGGGTGTTTTTGTTTAGCCCATCACACAAGGGTGATGTCATGTGGAAAGCGGTGCTGATCCATGTAGCTTCATGAGGGTCCACCGTCAATACATTGAGCCGACCAAGAAGTCTAGCGAGTCAGAAAAGCCCAAGCTTCAAACAAGATGTGGGACACTGGTGTTTGCAGTGCTCCACCACCTTGGACCAACACACAAATCGGAACCCCCAGGTCTTGCACAGCGAATCCCAATTCTGAACTGGATTCCGACCAGGGAAAGATGGGACGGATCTTACGTTGCGGTCACATTGCAGGCGTGCCATGTGCAAAAAGGATGGCCATCCACTGGCGCATAGACTCTCATTTTTCCCGATCTTCCTTTTTCCAGCAGGGCATCAAATGATCCTAACTAACGAAATCGACGGAGGTGAAGACCCGCTGCGCTGAAATGGAAACGCAGCACGCCGAGCGCTCCAAGACCCGGGCGGACGAGACAGCTGCCGTGGCCAAGGCTATCGAGACGCCCGGCACGGAATGAGTGCGGCCGGGGGTGACGGGGGCGGACGACCCCATGTAAGACGTTAGGGACCCCCTCAAAATGGTGCTTGTCCACTTGGTTTCCCTTTAGAAGCACCAAAACAAGGGTTCCCTAAGAAACAAGATTCCACCATGTGTTTTCAAATCCGGAGGCATCGATATAAATGTACAGATTTGATTTGCATGTCTAGATGCACACGGCTTCTTATGGCACTTGGATGCATGGATCATCTCTATGTGCGTGTGCGGATGTGGTTTGTTGCAATATTGTACTTTATTGCACCAAACCTGGGTACGCCCTTTTCTGAACCGGTTTTGTGGGGTAGTTCAATAGTAATTACAATTAACAACCTGATCATTTCAACGTGTGGTGGACTTGTACATTGCTGCTTGCCTATTGCTGTGTTCCTGGATCCCATGACAATTTAACCGAAATTGGTTGATCAAGGTCTTTACCTATACACCAACATCACACCCACACCGCATTCGGGGATCCCAAAGTGCAACTTACCCTTGACTTTTCTCCTCATAGCACCTGTTTCCCTTGGTTTCCCTTAAGGGATCGTGGTTTGGCAATGTACAGTTTGGCACTCAGAATGCACATGTGATTGATGCATTCAGTGGTATTTCAAGAAACAGAGCGATTTTAGGAAATCCAGGTTTTGGATGTCACAGTGCTCTGAAGTTGGTCTTGCCACTCTTGTGGTCTTGACTTACAATTTGGAGAGTTCAGAGCTTCACACCTCTAGAGTCACAACACTACCACAAACAAATTCGTGCTTGTGCAAGCCGTTGTACGCAAGTATGATATTTATTTTGGTATTAAGCTTGCTACGCCAGCCGCCAAAGAATGAACACCGATACGATTGAAACCTCAGTACCTGAGTTTCAGGAACGATCTCCTTGCAGGGCTCAGCCTGGCCAGAATCACACATTAGCAGCTGGGGATGTGATTGGCCATCCCATAGATTCTTATCCGTGCTCAGGCAAGCCTGGCGTGCTTTTGATGCAGATGGTCCCATCCCAAAGCTGGAGACACCTTTGATGTTACAAACTCAATCAGGCGCTTTCTACATGCCCTTTCAACAATTAATTTCAACAATTCAAACGTAATGGTGCAGGATAGTGGCTATGCGGCTACGCTGTTTTGCCAAGCCCACTGACACTCAAGGAACTTCCAGCTTGAAGGCACTCTTTCCAATCTTTGTGGGCAGACACCGCAACCAATGTCGGCAGCGCACAGCACTCACCTGAGACTTCTCGTCATCCTTGTAAAAGCTACTTGACTCATCGTGGGCATGGCTGGGTTGGCTTCAGGATCCTCAACGCCGACGAGGCCCATGAGAACTTTGCCAAGACCTTTGCCCCATCCTTTTTGCAGGACGCGGCGGCATCCTGCACGGAAGGGCACTCTACCCTGATTGGAGGGGAATAATGCACTGGCGAGTTTTCTGTCCCTGGGTTCAATCACCCCTTCCCAACAGTGGCCAGCAAGGTTGGGAAAGCGGTGCTGGATTTGCCACCTTCCATGGTGTGCACTAGATCTTAGCAAGACGACCTTGAATCAGGCCTATTGCCCTGCATGGTTCGCAAACTTTCAGCCATGAAGGGGGCGACCATGTGATTTAGGTATCACGGCTGTGTACTTTGCGTACCGTGTTTGTATTGAACAGTTTCGATGTTGCAGCTGGAGCTGCCAAAGTGCACTATGTGAACTCTGAAAGCGGTTGCTTTGTGAACAAGTTGCTTGCTTACTCGTGACGGGGGCCCAGCTTCAATGAAACGATCTGCGAAAGCTCCGTAATAAACTATGCGACAAAAGTAATTCAGGGAAGGTGGCCCTTTCTGGCAAGAAGGGGTTGTGGGCAATCACCACGTAGCATGATGTACTGTGCTGTGATGTAACATAACGTAATCTGTACGAATGTAACATGATTGAACAATATGCATGTTGATGTATATTATATGCATGTCATGCAGTGTACTGTATTGCACTGTCATGTAATTTTGCGTCACGCAATGCAATGCAACGTAGTGTAAGGTAAAAGCAAAGCAAAGTAATGCAGTCTATCACAATGCAATGCAGCGTAAATGACATGCAATGCTATGCGATGTCATGAAATACATATGTAAAATCAGAAGTAAATGTAAACACCCATGCACATGTTTGTGCTATGCAATGTGTTCTGATGCCTGCGACCGCATTCAGATGACGACCCATCCCTTTCTGCCCTGCCGATGATTGAGCATTTGGCGGTATCAATGATCTTCAAACAAACTCTCTGATGTGTAGAAACCTTGGCAATCAGCATCAGTGCTGACCCGCCACCTTCCCCGCGACTGCCACAGTGCAATGTGTTTGCAGCTCTTTTGATTTGGCAGCCTTTGTGGGTTTCATTTATTGTCGGCTTCAAAGGCGGGGCTACCCCAAAGGGGCGCCGTTTCGAGTGCAGGAGTCGGCGGACGTGGTCCAGCGGCGCTCTAGCGCGGCGGCGGCAATGGCGCAGGCGGCCCAGCGGGACGCGCGGCTGGCGGCGCTGGCGGTGCAGGTGAAGATCGACAACTTCGTGAAGGCAATCGTTGGGCAAGTTGGGCATTTGCTGTATGTGGCAATTAGGGGGTACCTCAAAAATGGATTTCGGTTTTCCTTGTGATCTCCCTTTTAAAAGACCTGCTAAAAGCGTACCCTTAAGAAACAAACGCACACACACACGCACACACACACACCCACACACACACACACAACACACAACACACACACACACAACACACACAACACACACAACACACACAACACACACAACACACACAACACACACAACACGCACACAACACACACAGACAACACACACACACACACGACACACACACACACACACGACACCTATGTGGGAAATGGGCACGGCGCGGGCAATCATTTACAGAGAACCGGGTCGGGGGGTCTTGCGGGTTTCATGTGAAAAGTCGCCCTTAGAAGTGACTATGGTTTGGACACATGCCCATGTCTTTATGTCAACAGTTTTTTTGGACACATTCTAGCAGTGTCCTTATTCAGGCCCACAAGGTGAATGGGGAGGGGAGGGCAGTTGCAGCAGGGCAGGCAATGTAAACTTTCCCATCGCTTGGTGTCCAAATCATGGTCATCGAACAGATGCACTTCACACAAGGGCCCGGGCCTCTTATATTGATCAAGAGCCTCGACTCCAGCTGACTTTTTCTGTAAACGATCTAGGTGCGGAATTGGCAGTTTCATCCAGAGCCTTTGGTCAAAGGCAGCTGTCCGCAATAAGTGCACACCACAACCAAATTTGTTTTACCTTCAACGATGAGTTTCCTTTTTCCCCGAAAAAGAAAAGAACAGAAAAAAGGAAAACACACATCAATTGATGTGAGCCTGCGCAAACCTCACGCAAGCCTCAGGTGAAGAAGGCCATCGACGAGATGTCCTTCGCCTTGAAGAAGGAGCAGCAGGACGAAGTGAAGCAGAAGGACTTTTGTGTAGCCTGGCACATCACTTACCATCGAGGCTCTCGGTTTTTGTCAATAGTAATGTATGAATATATTATATAATATTATATTGATATATCACTTGCAGGTCATGAGATGAATCAGAACCAACTGCCGCACTCTGCCATGCTGCATGTTCAGAATACGGAGGCCTGCAACGCAGTAGGGCATCTTCACAACTTCAATCATGTGCTCAAGCCGTGAGCATATTGGGGAATACGACTGCAGTTGCGCCCCAGTTTCCCCAACTTTTCTCGGCACCCCCCCTGCGCTGCGCTTCCGCATTTCTGGGCAACTTTGGGACCGACACAGGGAGAAAGCAGCCGGCAGCTGCCGGCCCACCTTCAAACATGCAAGCTACCTTTCTTTCATGGGTGTGCGTCTCAGATACTGAAAAGCCACACACTCGATCAGACGGAGCTTTGCTAGGTTGAGTCCCTGCAGAAGAATACCGTGGAGACAGAGGACAAGACACGACACTCGATGGCACAGCTGACCTTCTGGCTGAAAGGGGTTGCTGTTCTCACCAGTCCCGACCTGTACAGTGAACTTGGACGTGCATGTGTCATCAATGTTCCGCCTAGATCATTCCATTCGCGGGTAAGGACGGCAACACTACAGAAGGTACGGGCAGTGTTGCGATTTCAAAACAGGGTTGTTTCCCATCTCACTTGGCTCTTGTGGTTGCAAGTGGCACAGCCTACGCGACCATCATGCCTGTTTCGAGTAATTCGTGGTAGGCTTCAGGCTTCAGAGCACTTGAATCGCTTGGTTGACGGCCATGAGCTATCAAAAGGGCGCCCGGATGAGCGGCAAAGAATCCTTTAAAGAAGGGCAAGCCATGTGCATGTTCCGCACTAAACATATATATATATATATGGAAGTCAGATGATATCGGAGGTCAGGTCAGCAGGCTTCCACATGCATGACCACCGGCTTTACCCTACAAGCCAGGGGTACGCTTATCGGGTCACATGACTTGGAGTGGACGGCCGAACATTGTACCCCGGGATCTTGATGTCATGTACTCACTACAGCGTTTGTGCAGTGCAGTGCCGGCATTTGGGGTGGGGCTTTTCTCCCCGACGGCATGATCCTGTGCTACCACTCTGAACAAGATTTGTAGCCCTGAGCAAGCAGATGAGCGGATACAGAATAGGGTTTCTTTCCAATGGATGTTTGGTTGCCCCATCCAGCCTCTTTACAGGGGCACCTGCGTTGGCTCTGGCCCAGGTGCCAAGGACGCGCTTGTGGCCAAGGAGGGAACCTCCACTCTCGAGATTGAGAAGTTGGGCAAGGCCCGGTTGCGTCATATTACTTTTGGACTTTTGGTCCTGTAGGCTCTTGACCGAATACTGTTTACTTCTTCTTTTGCCCTCCCACCTAACATGGAAATGCAGACCTCTGTAGAAAGACTACTTTTCCTCTTGGAAAGGGGCTTTGTGCACTTCCATGTTAGCTGCTGGGAGGGTATTGACTTGTTTGACTGACTCTCTTAGCTGTCAGCTTGGGGTAGTGCCATTGGGTCCTCCATGTTTAGAGGGGTTTTGCTTGGGTCTTCGACCGAATCGAATCGCCCGGGTTTCACTCTTTTGTATTCGCTGCTTTTGTTTGCAGCCACCACAGGGTATGCTCATGCTGCGCACCAGCTCGATCAGCAAGAGTATTCCCTTCACTGTGACAAGATGATAATCACTCCTGGAGCCTGCAACATTAGGAAACTAGTTGAGTTTATCGGGGTGCGGGCCGACTGCCTCAATGTATTACAAGCAATCCATACTGTGTCAGCAAAACGAATGGAGAGTATCCATTCAGCCCTTTGACATCCTCTTGCTGGTGCTCAGTAGGGAATGACCTTCCGGATGTTGGCAATGAACCGGGTTTGGGGATTCCCTTAAAGGAAGCCAAGTCGGGGAGGGTCTTTCTTGGGTTCATTTCTCACATCGAAGCCACAGGAGGCAGAGGCTTTGAAGGCCTCCATCGAGGACCTGAAGAAGCAGATGCAGCTGGCCAGCCAGAACCGCGAAGCCGAGAACAAGGACGGGGGCTCCAAAAAACGCGTCCGCACGTGCGCGTTGGATCGGATGGATCGGGCGACTGGGTGTGACTTGGGGCGAGAAACCCGTGGACCTGAGCAAACCACCGGAGAGTTGTCCAAGGGATAACCCTAACTTCGTCAAACACTTTTATACCTCCTTCTCTTGCCATGTTGATGTTTAGTGGTCTGCAATTTGATCAGGAAAGTTGTTTGATCGCAACATTGTCTTCATGATGATTTTTTTCGGTAAACAGCGAATGAAAAGGGATCTCCTTGCGAAATCATCTATGTTCGATTGGGGGATTGCTCAGTTGTGCGAACTGGGCTTCAGTTTCGAGCTCAGGCAAAGCCCTCACCTTTGTCCCAATGCACTTGATGGGTAGAGGTGGCCAAAAAAGCAGACATTTGGTGGCACTGGATGTAAAGTGTTTGGCGCCACCACGCAAGAGGTCGACTCACCACATTGAGGAGCAGGGGTTGCCAGGCTGGAGCAACGCACCAATCTAAAGTCGTGCGCTTCTCTGAAGCACAGACTCTGCCGTGTAAAAATGCGCTACGAGTTACAGGTTCCATGTCCGGGCATAGCAAGCGGCAGCATTTGGCTGTAAAACTTTGTTCAAGCCACGGCCCCCTAAGGAAAATAGGGAAATCTAGATGGTGCCAGAGCAATCAAACAACGGCCCCGGGGCCCTAGGGATTGGCAGGAGTTCCAGGGCCTCGTGAAGGAGCAGAAGGAGTCGCAGCGGCTCCTGAAGGAGGCCCTCGGTGTGCTGGGCAAGTTCTACAACGAGAAAGGACACAACGCAGGGATGCAGGGCGTGTCTTCAGGGACCCCTGGTTAGGGTTGTTTAAAAAGGAAGGAAACGGGAGCATCGATTTGTGTGTTAGGCCGTCCTGTTTTGAGATACAGTTTGGCAAAAGGATCAAGGTGTCCAAATGCGTTGCCGCATGCCGACCAGTCGAACACGCATGACTTGCTTGGAGGCTGAGTATGGAGTCATTCACATGTTGGCCGCTGGGCTTTGCTTGCTGGATCAGACTCAGGCCTGCCTGCAGTGCAGTGAACATACTGCAAGTTATTGTGCGCAATTGCACTGCATAGTTGTTTTGTTTTTCTCGATAATTTGCATGCACCATTGTTGATTGACAACTTAGAGCCAGAATGCATCAGGTCATGGCCTATGGCCGGATATGCCAAGCTGGACAGAGTCGATGATTTTGGGCAGATGTTGGGGTTGCAACGGGCAATGGAAGGTAATGAACATCCTTTGCATGACATGCAATCATGCTGCATTGAAGCTAAGCAGGAGGGGCTATGATCCAAGTCCACAAGCAGACGGCAGCTGATGCTCCTGACACCTGGAAGAATTGGTTCGCCTTTGTGCTGTCGTGGGAATCCTCACAGGTCAGTTGTCGTATATCATCTCTTTTGAAGACTCCCTTGCGCGCGTTGCGTGTTGCCAGCAACTGACAGACTCTTCAGAGCTTAATCAGGAGTCTCCAGCGTGTGAACGGCCTTGTTGTGACTGTAGTGCCCCTAAGCCCTCCTCGGCACAGGCGATGAAGCACCCAACGGCAGTGGTGCTGAAAGAGAGATTGGTTCATCTATTCTGACTCGCGCGCCGTGCATCCTTTGCTGTTTATTCATAACTTTATTCTCCTCCGCTTGTACAACTGGGATTGAACTGCTTCAAGCTATCGTACTTCATGCAGTCGCGTGGTGTTTCTTGTCGTATTCCTTCTTCACTCTAGTTGTGTCTTTCAGTTGAAAGCTTGAATCAGTGCAAACATCCAATGCAGCTGAATGCAAAGATGCGACTCTGAGCTGGGTGTTTGAAAGCAATGAGTCCTTCAAATGGTTGGCTTCCTTTCGTTGCTCAGATGATAGGACAGTCCAGGTCATCGAGAGCTTGAGGGGTTGTTTTCGGCGCAATGAGCATGATGCCAAGCATTGTATGGGCATTAATAGTGTTTGGCAAACAATCATGTGGTTCTTTCAGAAAGCACGTTGGAGAAGTTGAGGGATGTTTATTCTTCACACCCCTTCATCCCGCTCAGACTTAGCACTGCCAACGCAGGCCATGCCCAGCTGCATCATATCGTCTTGTTCTTTTGTGATTGCAATCATCAGGACAGAAGTTGCTGTAACATGAGCTCTTGCTTTAGCACTACCACTTGCTGAGACAACCGTTCTTGCCTTTGCATGTAGATCTTTGCTCAAATTGTCCAACAGTCCAAGTGTTGATGCCTTAGTCCTGAATGCACCACGCATGATCTGTAAAAACTCAAGCCAGAGGCAACCAGAGGCAACCAGAGGCAGCCAGCTGGAACTCTCAGGAGGGCTTCAAGGACTACAAGACCAGCGGCAAGAGCTTCGGCGCTTGGCTCCCAGTTCCGTGTTGCCTGGAATGCTGACGGTTTTTTTCCTGGAGACGCCAGGATAGCGTAGGGATTCTGGATAATTGAAACGCGTGTCAGGGGAAGGAGGACTGAAGAAGCCACTTTTACTGCCCGGAAGTCAGGGGAATTGTGAATCCATTCCAACCGAATTCGAATGAAAAGCTCCGGAGGGTCTGGCCCTTGGCACAGGTCATGAGCCTTCTGCAGCAGCTCATCTCTGATGCGGAAGCCATGGAGGCGGAGGCCAAGAACTAGGGAGAATCTTGCGATGTAAGTCATGTATGGGTCACACCTCACTTCCCGAGTTCCTGGCCTTTATACTTTGTTGGAAGACCGTTTTAGTGGCCAACAAAAAAGTTCAGATTTGTTTGGAACAAGCCACTCGGGAAGTGAGATACCCTCCGTACTATAGCACAAGTTGTAGCAAAGCCACAGAAATCAACAATTTGGAGGGGGTGGCGCTTGGGGAGCATAGTCACACAGGTGTAGTTGCAAAGGACGTTTTGGCTGTACTACCCCGGCCCCGGTAGTGGAAAAGTCACAGGACGAGGCACGACACCTAGAAGCACGGAAAGGAGGTGCGTTTATGCCACGAGGTCTTTCATCACAGCCCCCAAGCCAGGATGCACTGTTTTCCTTGCGGGAACAAATGCATTTTGGAATTTGGGGGGTCAGTAAATGTCCGGCGCAAAAAGCAGGCGGGACTCACGCATTTTGCCATGTTCTTTTCGGAAATTGCATGTAAAAACAGTCACTTATGTGCTGCCATGCATGATTCAACCAACGAATGTCTACACCTCACGTTTACGCTTGGCCACCCTGTTTGTCAGCACCATTCATCGCCATGTGTGATTTGTATTGCCAAGTGTGTCACACATTCAACACCATATATCGCAATGTTCCCACAATGCCACAATCTGCAACCCTTGCCAATGATCTGCCGAAGTGTTGGACATTGTTCAAATAGTTTGCTTCCCACTTGACTGCAGAAGGGTGTAGTCGTACTCCCGATAGCATTGAAATGCCCCGCACCTCGTGCGCTGCAAGCTTGATTGCATCATCTTGAGAGGCGGCCTTTTGTGGTAAATTGTGCAGTCCAGGTTTGCTTGTTGGAGATCGTTCTTTTGACTAGGGTTGGATCCCCCCAGGGCTGGATTCCTGGCTGAGTGCCGAAGGGCCGCGCTCATTTCAGGCTACACGCGGCGAGCAGAGCTCTCAGAAGGCGAGGGGCCAGTTGGCAGTAGGCTTTGATTGCCTCGATCGTAGGTCCTTTGAACTGTCGGCTGTAGATACTAGATACATTGTTCCAAATTAAATGAGCCATGCGAAAGAGCAACGGCGCTCCAAATTGCTGCCTTCGTTCGCTTCATTTTTGTTTGTGACTTCAACTTGGAGCACCTTAGACCCCCTGCTAGAGGTTGAGTGGGCACCGGTTCAGAGCATTTGTTGAAGGGCTACCTCCGAGGCCGGTTGAGTTCCTCAGGCAAGTCGGCGCATCAATATGTTTATGCCATGTCCACAAGTATTGCTACGCCTTTGGATGATGCATTGTCGGTGCATGCTGGATGTGGGAGCATGATGGCATGTCCATGCGATTAGTATGCGCGGAAGAGCAGCTGCCTTTTTGGCGATGCAATCTTTGAAGGGTGTGGCCACTCAATCGACTTGCATGCCGCTCCTGTCATTTGATCGTGATCGATTCTGAGTAATTCCTCTCGCTTTCATGTTGTGAAGCTGCCAAGACATGCCAAGACACAGCGACGGATTCTGCCTAGTCAGATTCGAAAGTATAAAAACTAGGGGACACCTGAATCCTGTCAATGCGTGATTTCGTGATGGTCCCTTGTTGAAATCCACCCTCAAAAGGCCTTCCTAGTCTTGATATATTTCCAGACCATCACAAGGCAGTTCTGTCTCCAAGTGGGTCGGAGAGCGCAGGCGTAGGAGAAGTTCGCAGGGTCGGAGAGCGCAGGCGTATGAGAAGTTCGCCACGGACACTGCCTCATCCCTGAAGGCCAAGGAGGAGGCCCTGGCAGACAAGAAGTTTGAGAAGGCAGGGATTCAGGAACTATCAGGCATTCAAGAGCAGACGCTTCACGTGACGTCATGCGCGTATGATTGTTCAGCACGCAGAGTATAGAGCTTGGAGGGAGGCCGAATTCTATCATTTGCTTCATTTTGGGCTATGCTTGTGGCTCGGGACAGTGCATAGCTTCAAATATCCTTGTCTGTATACAGTCTGTATGTGCTCACATTCCTTGCGACCTCCTGCCCCTGCGAAGGCTGGCACTGAGAAGACCCATGTGCAGACAAAGCACCCTGGCAAAAAAGTAAAGCGAGTGGGGGGCAAAGAACCAATTATATATTAATGCCAAAAGACCTTCTTACTTAGAACTACTAGGGACAATTGGATCCCTGACTCAATAGGGAATGTAACGGGAATATAGCGGTACAAGGGATCATGTCCATGGCCCGTGTCAAACTGGCGCGCTTTCTGAAGTGAAGTAAAACACCGGGAGCCAATCATATGGGAGGCGCTAGTTTACATACCAATAATAGGTTTGCCGCACTGTTTGCGGAGGCTAGCATTAATATGTTGTGGCGGTAATATGTTAGAGAATGCTGGTGTTTCCTCTCGATCATGTATCACCAACCAACCTTTCATCAGCATCACCTTTGCTGTTGATTCTTCGCACACAGGGCATGTATCAGTGGTTCCTGGGGTCCGTTTGAGAATTTGACCATGGTTCTGAAGATCCAGTCTTCAGGCAGATCCTGCGAGAAGCAGACATACGCTCTGGCGCACCTGCACAACAGCAGACTGGGACTGTTGCAGAGCATGCCGATTTCCTCAGGGCCGGATACCACACAGATCACCTTACTCCCCGAGTTCCTGGACTTTATGTACTTTTGGAGAAGACCATATTTAGTGGTCAACATAGAAAGGTTCAGACAGTTTTTGGGCCAGTCCGCTCGGGAAGTGAGTCACCGGGCCACGCTTGGCGCCACCTGGCCTCCGGCTACTCAGCCCGGCCTCCGGGCGCGTGGGTCGTTCCGAGGGAGAGCCGCGAGGGTGTGGAGTCGGAGCTCGAGGGCCTGGCCACCACCAAGACCCAACTCCACGCGCCCCGGTAGCGCCGTGGGGAGGGGGGGTCGGTCTCGGGGGGGGGGGGATCTTGAGCGTCTCTATGTACTTGTAGAGGATCCGGTGTGGAATGTGGAGCTTCTCTCAAAGTGCCATTGGCTTTGGTGATTTGAGGTTTTTGGAAAGAGTTGTGTCTCAACCGGAACGTCTCGGAATGGATTGCGATCTTTTTGGGTGCGGACACAACATCATATATCAATTAGTGCAAACTGGCGACAGGATGAGGGCATGACTGTCTCTGCCCCCCTTTTGCCCTGCAAGGTTGTAGGGGGCAGGTTCCTCACATAGCTGTTGATCAGAGCCTTTCATCCAATACTCTGTTTTGTATCCGGGTTTCCTTGGCGGAGGAGGATTTGACAATTACGCGGGGGGGTGGGGGGGTGGGGGTGGTTCTGGGATTTGGATTGTGCAAATACGCGGGTTTCTGAATATGTGGTCAACATTATGCCAGAATTTATAGTTGGCAAAACCCCGTGAACCCATGGCCGGGAACGGATGATCCTTCCACTGCCAACATCGCACTGGTAACCCTAAGCTTGTTCAGGATACCCAGCAATGGATCCTCTCATTTGTGGATTACCGCCCATCCGCATTTTGCCGTCAATGGCTGCTTCAGAGGTATGTAGAGGCAGAAGTCAGATGCAAAGGTTCTACTTAGCTATCACAGCTTTTAGAAAGCGGCATTGGCACAACGACACGTTTTGTTCCTTGCCTGTGAGACTGAAATAGCCATCAAACGTCAAAAGAAGAAACACTGCTGTGCCAAAGAGCGCTTTATTGGCAAGAAAGACTGAAGTTTGTATTGCCAGCTTGCTTGTTTGCTTTTCGATCATCATGGGGCTGTTTCCGTGAAAGCACGAAGTCGGCTTTTGTGCCCGTGAGAGCCCAGGAAAGCTGCGACTGGCTCATGCAAAACTTTGATGCCCGACAGGCGGCTAGGGAAGAGGACTGTACACGTGGGCCCACGTGAGAATCCATCATGCGCCTGTGCTTAGCAACAAGTGAAGCGTTTGTTGTGCAGAGGCATGGGCAGAAATCGTATCAAGAGACTTGGAACCAGTTGATTCAACACAATCATGCCGCGGCTCAGACACACGAGTTTTCACCTTACGGCCCATTTGGTGGGCTGGTTTTACAAGCCAGACATTGCTCCGTGCCCCTTAGCTGAAGCGTGTCACAAGGCTACTTCACTCAAGATTCATGGAAGCACATGCAGCGGCGGGCAACAGTTTGGGCTCCGGCAAGAGCTGCAGGAGATTGAGTCCATCATCAAGGCAAAAGCCATTCTCTCAGGCTTGGAGAAAGTTGCTGATGCAGTCATGCCCCAGAGAGTTTTTAGAATCAGGGTTGGCCATTGGCGGTGGTGGGTGGTTTAGTGTCGGTCGGTTGGTTGCTAAGATTGGGCGCTTGGTCAGTTGGTCGGTTTGCCAATCAGCAGAAGGGGCAGGGACGAGTTAGCACAACAGTATAGCATCAGCATCGCCTGGACCTGCTTTCCCCCTGATCCATCTAAGCTGGCGTTTGGGCTTGCTGCATGTCGCATTGTAGGCTTGATTTGACACTGGTAAATGTGCTTTTCTTTGGCTTGGGATAGGATCAAAGATGGTTGACAGCGTCCCATCCTGCTTATATCCTACCCTCATCCGGGCCGAAGCAAATATACCCATCTCAAATCAACCATATGGGAAGTGAATCCAAGTCACGTTGGGAGTTACCCCCCCCCCCACACCCCCACCCCTGCCCTTTGAAAATCTGAGGTGGCTCGACTGTCACACCCACTTCACATTTGGGTGTGTCTTCTGTTGGCCCCTCGTGAATGTTTTGACCGGAAACCAAAGGGTTCCCACGAGACAACGAGACAAACCCAAGTCGCCTGACAGGTGCTAGCTTTGCGGAGCTCCAGCTTGACTGAGATGCTCGACCGTGCCGGCCTTTGCACGCCAAAAGGAGCTGGCGGCGCGGTGCCAGAGATCACCAGATGTGCGCGCAAAACCCCTAAGTATACTACGCCGGGCTGTCAAGAGCGCGGCGCCGACCGGTGTCCGGGGTGTTTTTTTTGTCTTTGCCAATATGCTACTTCTTGCGGCTCGGCGGATCAATGGTTTCATTTGTGTCCCTTCTGCTTCTGTTTCAGTGAAGATCTTGTCTCAGACAGCGATTATCATGGGCGCGCCAGGTCAGCCTGAGCGAGGGCCCTAGATTGATTTGGATTTCGACCATCGACTTCGAGCTGGCAGGAAGGATTTGGGTCATTTTGGCCCTAAGTTGTCCTTCTCGATGGTCAAGCCGATAGCAACGTGCGTGAGGCTGATGTAGAATTTGTGTCAAGTTAGGAGTGATGCTACCCACAGAGGCATACCTTTGCTTGTCATGCTGGCGGGTGAGGAGTCAGCCTTTGGGCAGTCCAAGCCTGACAAAGATTCATGTCCTTGTATTCCAAACTGTTTTGTCATGATCGGCTTGAATCGAATCAGTTATATGGTTTGTCAGACTGTATCATGCTTTTCGTAAGTGTGAATTGCAGAGAGCCGAGCTTGGACAAGTTTTCTGAAGCCACAAGTCAACTCCCAAAAAAAAATCCACAAACCAATCTATCGTTTGGATTGGTGGTTTGCGGACTTGAACCCCTGGTTCTTGTAGAGGGCAAACGGGAAAACCACCCTGAACCACCAAACTGCCAATCCAAACCACCAAACATTTCAGCTCCAGCGACATGGTAGCAGTGCCGAGGATGATGGACACCGGATCCCTCGGTGGCTGTGGCCTGCCTAGCAGATTTGGAGTGAGAGCCATGGGCTGTTATGTCTGGAATATTTTCGAATGGCCACACGGTTCAACTTTGACTCCCCAGACAACTAAATAAACATGCTTGAGCTGCAGATTCCTTAGTTGGTGATTGGATGTGTTTGGTGGAGTTGGGTCTCGGGTGTACTTGAGTCATGTGTCCTGGAAGAGCCTGCCCAGGGAGGGCCTCCCCAGATTTGGTCTTGCATGTTCAATGTTGGTTCAGGTTTTGTGTGTTCTTCATGATGTGTGATCGTTGTTGGGGTACTTTGCTCAAATCAATCAAGCTGCAATTGCTCAACTGCGCCAAGTGCAAAGACAACTGCTGTGGCAAAGGTGGGGCCCACAAAGCAGGAGCGAGAAGCCAAACCTGCTGTGATTCCCAAGTAAGGTGGTTTGGATCACCAGTGAGCCGTTGAGCCCAGTCTCCCAAATCAAGCAATCATTTTGGAGGGGTTCCAAAATGTAGGAAAGCGCAATTGTTTGCAAGCAGGGCCTATTAAAGCTTATCAAGCCTTAATAAGCCTGGATAAGGCCTATTAAGGCTTGTTTTGGCTTAATGTGGTGGGGAGCCCCCCCCCCCCCCCCAAAAGACCTGCCCAGCAACACGCTTTTGACCCCGCCCCCTTCCATTCCCTACCCCCTTCCTTTGCCCCCCCTTCCCCCCCCCTGACCTTCCCCTCCATCCCCTCCATCCCCTCCATCCCCTCCATCCCCTCCCTCCCCTCCCTCCCCTCCCTTCCCTCCCCCCTCCCTCCCCCTACCACCTTCTTACTTCTCAAAAAGAAGCACTGTGTTGGTCTTTTCAAAGTGTCGCACTTTAACTAGGATTCTGGGGCATTTGGTCTGGGGTTCGATGCAATTGGCCAGCCAGCGGTCAATCAGTCAATCTGTTTCAAGTGTGTATTTATTGAGAAGAGGCTTAACAAGGATTCACCGCTTCATGAGGCTTAATAAGGCCACTGAATACCGCTGAACAATGCTTAATAGGGCTTAATAAGGCTTAATAAGGCTTAATAGGAGGCCTTTCTCGGGAGGCTTTTCAGGGACGCTTTGACATGATTGAGGATGATAGGGACCCTCGCGAAAGAACTTGAGATTTTATTGCGCCACCAGTCATTTGGACCGTGGCACTTGAGCATCAATTCCAGTGATGTGGGTGTGTCTTTTTTGGAGGGTAGCGCCACCCTTCGGCGGGGTCCTCTAAAAATTTAAAAAATGACACCGATTTAGAGTGGATCTATGACTGAGAGGAGTTTGTCTCGAGGATTGGAAGTGTTGGGTCAGTGCGGTGGAACATCCAATGTTCAACGCTTAAGCGCAAAGCTTTGGGAATTGACTCAACTGGGCCTTGGATTGTTTCTTCCAGTGGATGGCTGTTGCTACAGTACTTGATTTGTGTCTTCGTCGTGAAGATGGTGACGTGCAAGGTTATGTAGTGCAGGTCAAGCTAGCAGCAGGAAACGGAATGTGCCGGAATCGGTCAGAATTCGCAGGTGTTGAACAGAAACCCGGTGGTTTACTGTAATGTACATCAATATGATGTTTGTTGTGTGGACAGACCGCGGCTGGATAGACCCATCCTACCACTGATCTTCAAAGTGAGCGCACTTGAATGCCAGGATTGCCTGCTATGGGCAGCACCACAGGCGCGTGACACGCAGAGCTGGAGTTGAGCAGTCGCCAGTCACGGAAGAGTTGGTTCGTGTCCATTGTGTTACTTGTCCGGGCCAACATAATGGAAGCACTCATTCTACGTTGGCACAACTGTATATAACTGTCAGCATCCTTGGGGTTCGCACTCACCGGCGTGGCGAACACCAATGAATGGGCTGGAACATGGCTGGAGCTGTCAGGTCTACATGCTGTTCGCACTCTAAACATGATCGAAGCAACGACAACACCAATGTGCACTCTGCAGGACACTTATTCGTTGGTACGAATGGCGTGGCATCGCTTTGGATCCTGTGTTTGCATGCCATTGTTTGTTCGCCGTGACTGGTGGAATTTCAGCAAGGGGCACATCTTTCTTGAACACCCGGGGGTCTCTCTGTCTCGAATATCGAAGTCCCATTACCGAGCTCCGCCATCCAAAAAGTGTCAGCCACGCAAGCGTACAGTCCACTCCGGTCAAATTGTAAGCAAAGAAACTCATCCGCGAGCATGCTGGCCTTTCTCAGCAAAGTTAGACGCGGATAATTCCGTGTGCGATTGTATTTGATTGCTCTTAGTAAGCATGTTTAACCTTTGTTTGAGCAGACATGAGCAACTTATCATGTGATCGTCAATGTCTGGGGCACGCATGCCAAGACAATGTCTGCGGTTGGTAATCTTGCTGCTACTGCCTTTGATTGATGATTAATCTTGGTGACTTCAAGACCAGTGGCAGCAAGAGTCTGCAAGTTGGATGCTCGACACTTCGAAAGACTTCTCGGCCCAGCGTGTCCCGGACGCTACAGAAACATGTATCCTTGCCATTGCTTTTTTGTTAGCAGCTGTGGCCTGCTACACACACAAATGCCACATGCCGGAGGGGACTTCTCAGAGCCCAAATGCCAGGCCCCGGCATGGGAGGCCGCGGCCCTAAAGCAGTCAGATCATCGGGAGAGTTGTGATATGTTGTGACGTAAGCCGTGTTTCGTAGGTCAAGGATTTTGACGGATCGCCACCTCCATGGTGTGTGTGTGTGTGTGTGTTTGTGTGGGTGTGTGTGTGTGTTGGGAAATCTAGCCTCAGTACCCATTGGATTGCCTCAGCAATGCCCACACTCCAGCGTGATTGTTTGGGGACAGTAGTACAGGGTGGTCCCTATTTGAATTGACCCATGGGCATCGGGCTCAACAGAGATTCTTAATTAGTGTCTTTTAGTGAACATTTAATATTATAGACAGTCTCTTATATTCTAGACAACCAGAAGATGGGATGAAGAATCCTCTCGCCAGAACCCACGTCAAGAGTGTGTTGGGCCCTCGCAGTCTCTCACGAGCCGACCTAGTTGTGTTTTTCAGATGGTTGTGTTTGGGCAAGTTGGATTCTCAAGTTACAAATTGGTCATGTCTTGTCACATGAAGTGGAGGCTTAACAAGTTGTTTCTTCTTAGCAGGTCGCCTCATGCATGTACCCCGCCTTTTCCAGGCCCTAGCTATGGTGGAATGGGCATGGGAGGCGGGCGGGCCACGTGGTTGGATGCCAACCTTTGCAGATCTTGCTCCTAGGGTCCAGCGCTCTAGGGTTTATGCACCCCAGCCCCCAGCTCGCACTGGCAGAAAGCCTGACGCACACACACACACAAACACACACACACACACACACACACACACACACACACACACACACACACACACACACACACACACACACACACACACACACACACACACACACACACACACACACACACACACACACACACACACACTCGCACACATGTCCCTTCCATTCCGACTCCACCCCGCTTGCGGCTTTCAGTCAATAAGAGTTTTTTGAACAGCACAATTCGGCACGAGCTGCACTCTTGGCCGAATCTGCTGGAGAAAGACTGGCATTCGGTGCCAGCATGCTTGCGTGTGCGATATGGTCGCAGTAAGGAGCAATGTTCTCTTCAGCTGTTTGTGATTCTCACTTCTAAAAGAAGTGTTGGTGATTTTCAATGTGACCCGGGTGCTGGCGGTTCTGCTATTTGGGGTGATGGTGCACATGTTGTGCTGGCGATGTGTATTCAGAAAAAAAATAGCAAGGGCACACGAGCGCACAGGTCCTGGCTATGGGATGGGAGGTACCGCCCTCAGAGCGTGCACGAGTTGTCAAGCTCATGCTGCCTGAGTTGGAAGGTTCGTAAGTTCAAGTTGCCCGGGTGTGTGCCTTTTTTGATTGACGCATCTCGCAGACATCGTATAAGCAATCGTCTCTCCATGGGTTGGAATAATATTCATAGCAGGTAAGTTGACCTTATTCTGTGCTGTGTATTGAGTCATACCGGACATGCTGTAGCAAAGCAATTGTGTCTGCAGTTCCACGTTCTACGTTGTGGAGTTCCATGAAACAGCAGCCGCCGCTGTGACATTTTCGACATAGCTCTTCTCCTTGGGTCAAGAGCTGGGGCTAAAGCCTATTTTTTGCCAGAGGGTA